ACGCGACAATCTTTGGAAATCAAAATTGTTATTAGAGAAATCAAACGCGACAAATTTAAAATCAAATTGACACAATAAAAACCAAAAGGATTTTTCCTTTTAATCATAGACAAGATATCAAAATCATAGAAGACAAAAAAAGAATCAGACATGGTAAATTTTATTTGTGATACTCCTCGAACACCGTAGCAGACTCGTTCTGAAAGCGAGGCCGATTTCCCGCCAAATTTCGCAATATTTTGTGTTCCATGCGTGGTCTTTCCATTCGCGTGCATGGTGTTCGACTGTTGAATATGTCGAACATGGAGAATTTCCTGGGGATGTTAAGCGAGCAACTTGGTGCAAAAATCTCAATCAACACGACGGTTTTGAACCCCACGTATCCGCTCAAGTTTGAAAGGTTTGGCGACGGAAAACTCGAAGACGACGCCGAGTTCCAATCGCACGTCAAAGAGCTATCGACACAGGGCCACGATGTCGCGATAGAATTTGCTTCAGATAAACGCTTCTACTCGAGCTCAAAGATTTACAAGGCAGAAAAGATGGCTAGAAAGGCATATGTTGAGGATGATCCTGTTGCTGCTGTTAGGAAAGCGTTGAAAATATCGCCTTATTGCCCAGAAGCTTACAACGTAATGGCGCAGTTCCAAGCTAACACCTATGAAGAAGCGCTTGGTAAAGATACTTCATTTCGTCTACTGTGTGTTTTAATTTCACGAAAATGTAAATTTTTCCAGTCTGTGAATTTTTATTTTGTCGTAGCTAAAATAATGCAGGGTCTAATTCGCGATGAAACGATTGTAGGCTTGCTATATATTGCAACTAAAGTCATGGTTTGTGCCGAGGTCGACTGCAATCTGATAACTCCACTCTAAATTCCGGTCATGCATATTTCTCATGTGTCGGAAAGCATAACACAATGGGCAATTTTCTCGTGTGCCATTGACGTGCAGAGTGTGGCCTAAAATTGTACAGGGGCGGATCCAGAAATTTCAGAAAGGGGTGGCCTTTTTACTATTTATCTATTTATTCTTCAAAAATAATACGAAATTTCCCAGAAAAGTGGCTGGCCGTCGTCCCTTTGGCCAACCCTAAATCTGCCCATGTTGCAGCTTTAATTTTCGCACCCATCACCTCACCTTAATTACTCATAACTTTCATTAAAAAAATGATCTTTCAACTCACTCCGTGAGCCCTTTTTATTTAGGCAGATTCTTTACAGATGTATGTCACCCTGTACAGATGAATATTTTCCAGTCAGTACCTTATGGTTTGGACAATGGTCAGGTGTCTAATATCAAAAATATCTTTCTTGAAATCAGAGTTTTACAACAAGGCTGTGGAACTAGCACCAAATGTAAGTGCTGAATTTGAGCAAGAGTTACCAAAGCGGAGAGCTTGGTCTTTAAATCACCTGCGAAGTTACTTTCGTGCGGTGCATGGCCAAGCTAATACCTTACGTAAGATGGGGCGCTATGAAGAATCTCTCGAAAAGTATCTTCAACTGGAAAAGCTGGACCCAGCGTTCTACAGGTTTGTTTTTTTTATTTTTAAGCTTCACAGTAATCAGGTTCTTTTTTTTTCAATTTTACTGACTTAAACAGCTTAACAACAGTTTAACAGCACTCAACAAGGCTGTGCTCTATGAAAAGTTGAAGGAAGCCCACTTCTCTGAACTAGTGAAATCTAGGGGGCATGGCATATGATGTCTTTAAGGAAACCAAGATTTTCGCGTTGCCAGCGAGTAAAAGTTAGGTGCCTGGGGCAACTGGACACTTCTAGAACACAGCCTTGCTCAAGAAATAATGAAAACTTTCTTCCAGCTTAAACAGTGTGGAATTAATGCAAACCACACAGTACACTCATTTTCTAATTTGACCAAGTGGGTGGACACTTATAATGTTCAGGGAGGGCACTTTAAAAAAATGTGACCAGTGTATCATTAAAAAGCACTGCTTCATTCTTATAATGGAGCTTGAAGATGTTATGTTCTTGGGCAAACAGACAACTGCACGCAAGATGGCGGATCAACTAAGAACTGTATTAATCAAAGAGCACATGGGTTTTACAGTAACCGCATACATACTGCGGGCTCAGTATGAATTACTGACACTATGACAAATAAATGATTCACTATAACAGAAGACTGGCCCTACATTTGTAGCAAATTTATTACAGTTCCCAGAAAATTGGCTGGGTAAAAGCCTGAAAGTATGCCGGCATATTCAGGGAAATATGGCCTTTACTAGTACACAACATCATGTAATATACTTTTGTTTTGACTTTTTAGCTGGTGTTCATATGCCAACTGGAGGTACCATGTATTAGAAATTTACATGAAATTGGGTGATGACAGAGGAGCACTCAAGTTTGCCATGAAAAAGTCCAATGTAGAAGCTTTTCAATTTTCTTCATCATGTGGGGCGTGGTTTTGGACCAAAGCATTGCTTGACTATCGCTACAAGCAACACAGAGGCTATGCTGAAGACTTCTATGATGCAGTGATAGACAGAAATGACCCTGAATCTCAGAATGTTTTTAATAGCTTTGAAGGCACAATTTTAAGAGCCTTTCAGGCGTCACCAGAGACATTAAGTTTTCTGACTGGTGAACGCAAGCTGCCTGACTGTCTGATTCCTGTGCTCATGGGAAACTGGAGGTCACTGACTAATGTGGCCACTTACTGTCTGTCCAATGCTGAACTTTGGCGCAACACGCCAGGGGCATTGGAATGGGCTGCATCCAATGCTAGGACATTTATGTGCTCAATGATTTTGGATCAAGATAAGGAAAACTGTAAAAGACTTGGTATTCCATGCACAGCCAAGAAATTTAAAGAACTGCTCAGCCAAGGAATTTTCTTCGATGCAAAGGTTAATCGAAGCACCAAGACATTAGTGCACTGTGCCGTGTGTGGTGAAATGCCTCAGTATTTGCAGATGCTGATTGATGCTGGTGCAAATGTCAAGATTGTCCCAAGAGGTGGCCGTGGTATTCCACAACCTCTGCACATGGCTTGTTATTACAGCTTCAGCTCAGAGATCATCCAGATTCTGTGCAAGGCAGGTTGGTACCCATCATTATTTTAGAGTTCTGAAATTACATTTGAACAGATCTTCTTAGTTTTAGCCTGGTTGTGGCTGGGAAGGAGTGTAAGGGTTTTTGGTGATGTATACATGTAGTTTTTGGGTTAATCATAAAATATCTTAGGAGCTGTCTTGGATATTTTTGGAAATCCTGGTCATGACAAGACAAAAATCTCATGCACTTGACTCAGAAAAAGTTGGCAGGTATTAGAGAGCCTTTCCAAAGTCAAACCTAATTTATTAAACTGGCAACATGCAGTGCATTTGAGATAGTCAGGGCTCCAAATACTGAACTTTATGTCCAAGCCATTGATCACTACATGTACATATGTTCTTAAATTGAATTAATTACCATACATACTGAGATATACTCACCAAAAAGTTTTCAACTTTCTTACACAAAATGGTTTCTAGCCAATCGGAGCCACAAACAATGTTTTTCACATGTGAGAAAATTAGTTTGTACAATCAGAATCAATGTACAGTACATAATTCTGTTAAGCAAATCAAGACAAAATGGATGGCAGACCTACATAATTTATTTTTTTATATATTTTTGACATACCGAAATTTATTGTAATTTGATTGTGAATAAAACTATACCTAAAATTTGATACACAAAATTATTAAAATTGTGTATACCATTGATACTTGGGTAAAATAAAAGTTAACAGTCTTTGTTATAGTACTTAGTTCTTTACAAAAGTTTTGTCCAATGTTCTGAATGTTGTTTGTGTTATGGTTTAATTTTATCCCTGGTTTAAATTTATTTTCATTTGTCTTCGGGTATGTATAATAATGAGTTAAAACTAAGGTAAAGTAAACTTAATCCAAGGATAAAATAAAAACCTCAACATGCAAAGTACTTTGTCTTTCAGGTGCTGATCCAACGGACAAGTGTGGGTTCCACTACTCTCCTCTACAAATGGCAGCTGAACAAGGTGGACTCAGAGCTTTGAAAGCAGCATTTGATTGCCTTCCTGACTACCGCAGGAAAGATCAGAAGGTCCTTGACAGCATCCTACTTGCTGTGTTTCAGAGCTCATGCTATGAGTGTGTGACAGGCCTGGGTGACCTGTGCCAGCGGTGCCTTGGTGGGGATGGTCCACATCGATCAGATGCAACATGGACAGGGGTGCTTGATTTCCTCACAGAACTAAATTACAAACCATCCAAGAAGTACCTGGACAGCATGCAGGAATTTCCCAAGAAAAAGAAGCTCTTTGCTTATTATGTCTGCAAGCTGCGAGGAGAGGAGCCAAAAGAAGCGGCAGAGGGTCCAGATTTGAGAAGAAGGCCACTGTCTCTTACACAGCCATCCAGCCTTTCAACATTCCTGTCAGCACTGGGGCAGTTTGGAGACCTTCCCAGTCAACTGCAGAAACAGCTTCAAAGCACTAAAGCCATCATGCCCAAGTCAGTGAAGTCAATGTGTGAGAATTGCAAAGGTAGTGAAAGGAAGATGATGGTTTGTGGGCAGTGTCGTCAGGCTTACTACTGCTCCCGAGAATGTCAGAAGAAAGACTGGAAACAGCACAAGAAGTCTTGTGCAACAAGAAAGGAGTGAAGAAAGTTCTTTATTCTTATTAGTATCAGTTATCGTGCCATTCATAAAGAGTATTGTCCATGTTGATAAATAGGAGGAAATAGATTGCTTTGTTATCTGTGTAAAGAACTATACTTGTACATTATTTTCTGCCATGTTCTTTAATGGAAATCAATTTTTCTCAGTCTTCAGCCACGTGGTATATGTTCACGTTTTTATAATCGTTGCTGTTTTGCCTTGTGGATGAGTACATAGGGGGGTTTTGCTATGTTAAGCACTGACAGCTTTTAAAGAATTAAATAACCCAAAGGCATTTATTTTTATAGCATTGCCGAAGTTATGGCATGTTGAAAAAAGTTTTATCAGAATTTCATGACAGATTTAAAATTAGTTTATAATGTATTGATATAATATTATTTAAAGATTGTTATAGTTGAAGAAAGATTAATTTTTATTGCAGGCATTAAATAGATTTAAATATTTTTTATACTTTGTTATTAGTTTTACTGTTTTTATTAAGCACTTGTGTGTGTACATGTTCGTCTGATTCATGATAGATAAGATTGTAACTTGCATGGATCAAAAAATGTCACCAAAAGATTTTTCTACCATAAATTATTTTTGTAAGAGTAGTTTTTGCTGGGATAGACTTATCATGAACTGAGTAGATCACACATTTATTCAATCGTTACCAACTGCTTTGTTCAGTTCATCAATGTTTTATCAAACTATCAAGCTTACTAAAACTTTCATGATTTCTACTCCAATTCCCTTCATTATTGATGTCCGTACTGGTAACTCTTGAATACAGCTAACCCCCTCTAAGACAAACACCAATAACCGCGTCACCAGTTGCTGGTCATCTTACAGGGTGGGATGAATATATTTTAAAAAAGATAGCTTGCCCTTTAGCTTTGGTTAAGCTGATGCTGAAGTTTACTAGGCCAGAGTGATCATGCAGGCCTACCAACCCCATTTTCACTAACATTCTCTTTATCTCATCAAATCTTGCTTGCTTATGGGACAACTTGCAAACAAAGCATGCTAGCTGGAGGTTTGCTCCACTAGTTGTAGGCTGTCAGACAGTTCTTTTGCCATGCTCTGTTCTAAGAGAAGTTGTTACTGGAGGGTCACAGGAACCAATATTTGGTTTTTTTTTCCAGAAAGTGAACTGTTTACATCAAATTTTTTATGACCTAAAGATTTGCCTGAATTAAACTGTAACAGTCAGAAACACAAAAACCCAATTCAACACTGATACAAACATGCTATAATTTTGAGGTAGAGGATGGTACTAAACCAAACAGTGTGAGAGTGACACAGCCTCATTCCCAGTTGTCCTTGGCGATTTCAGATGTGACATTACACGAAAAATTGCCAACAAGCACAAAAAAAATTGCAATTTTTGCAACTGCATGCAAACCTTGACATAAGTGAAGGCCCCAAAGGTGTCAAAGGTAAGTTCTGCTCGAAAGCCAACAACTTCCAGGCTCCTGTCACATCAGACATGAGATTTGTAATAGTGATAATGATGATAAAAACAACGAAAGTCCATTAGGAGACTGTAAAGTCAAGTTGTAGCAAAGTGTTGGCTTCCTTGTTCTTTGAACAATGTCAAACAATAGCCAATGCAGAGTCAGAAGGTTTTATGTTGATGACAAACAGATTCATTTATTTATGACTTTTTAAAGTGCTTGGATTTTCCATGAGAATGAATTTGTTTTCTCTTTCTAGTAGTTTTCCCAGACTGTCCTTTCTGTTCTTTCTCAATTTTCTTACTTCTCCTCTTTTTAAATTTCTTGTGAAATCTTTGCTTTTTTGAAGTACATCTGAAAGTGAAAGTTCATAAACAGAAACAATTAATAATGCAACTCATTATCCGCATGTTTCTTAGTGTTGTGGAAACCATTGTTGGTTTGCCGTTGTGTTGGGGTGTATGTATTGTTCAGTGTCATTTGGTGATTGCACCTATCTGCAACACCAAGAAACTTCCCATTATCCACCTAGTATTCGTTCAGTTGCAATTAAAGATAAAACCCTAAGAAAATGTACACTTGTGCAATAGCTTACTTTTCAGTCTCTCTAACTTTATCATTGTTCAGCTGTTTCTCTTGTAGTGAGGCAGTTTCCTCTGATGTTGATGTCTCCATCAAGCCCTAGAGAAAGGCTGTGTTAAGTTAGGTAACAAACACCAGAAAGTCCAGAAAGTGTTTCAAAATAACAGGGATATCCAAATCCCGAGAAGTAGGATTCATGAAGATACACCTTGATAAAAACAAGGTTCTCTCGAAGCTTTGGTGACAGGTGAAAATTGCGTTCTAGTACACATCAAGCTGCCAGCTACTTACATAAAACAAAATAAGTCCAATGTATTTCTTTTTTTTCCCGTCAAAATGTTATTTGATAACAGCAAACATATGATGCATAATTTATGATTTGGGTAAATAAAGGTGTCATCCTCATGGCAAAATAATATTTATTTTGCCAGTTACTCAAAAATGAAATACCCTGAGATGCATGTTTCAAGGACCGCCAAATTAAAATTTAGCCTGGGGAGGCTCGTACAATGAAATGGGGTAGCTGCCTTCCCATACCTTACCCACACCTTTGCCACCTTTCTACCCAATCACTTGTTATCTATTTAATGATTTTCACATTGTACATCAAATTTTTAGGAGAACACTACAAATAGTGTGAAATCGTTCACTGCATGTTCCAAAAATACAAGCTGGATTGTAGATGGTGAGTGCCAAACTAGAACCAGCTGTTACTCACCTTGTTTGGTCCAATACATGCAAATTTACCACTGTCTAAGTTGACATCACTGATTGTAGTTACTGTGACAACATGATCAGGATGATCATAGGTTGTATTGACTCCAGGAACATCTTGTTCATCTTCTGATTCATCAGATTCAAGAGCCTCTAGGATTAAAATCAGTANCAGTTACTCAAAAATGAAATACCCTGAGATGCATGTTTCAAGGACCGCCAAATTAAAATTTAGCCTGGGGAGGCTCGTACAATGAAATGGGGTAGCTGCCTTCCCATACCTTACCCACACCTTTGCCACCTTTCTACCCAATCACTTGTTATCTATTTAATGATTTTCACATTGTACATCAAATTTTTAGGAGAACACTACAAATAGTGTGAAATCGTTCACTGCATGTTCCAAAAATACAAGCTGGATTGTAGATGGTGAGTGCCAAACTAGAACCAGCTGTTACTCACCTTGTTTGGTCCAATACATGCAAATTTACCACTGTCTAAGTTGACATCACTGATTGTAGTTACTGTGACAACATGATCAGGATGATCATAGGTTGTATTGACTCCAGGAACATCTTGTTCATCTTCTGATTCATCAGATTCAAGAGCCTCTAGGATTAAAATCAGTACACTTAACATTTCTTTTCTAGGGAGGAGAGAGTACTCCCTATGATGGTCAATACAGGGAGGCTTCACCTGAAAAGGGGTACCTTCTTAAGGCATCATAATCAGTTACAACTGTATGTAAAAAGGTAGAGATTTCAGTTGAAGTACCGGTAAATGAAACGGTAAGAAAATCTGTCATTTAGGTACTGGTATGTAAAAAACCCTCATCAATAGTTTTCCAAACACACAGCTTATGGCTGTATTATTTTAATTGAAAATGTATGCCTGCGGAAACCTGGACTTTGACAGCGGACATCCTGAGGAAATTGCAGGCCACTGAGATGAGACACTTTAGGAAACTGCTTGACATCTCATACAGAGACCACATCACTAACGATGCAGTCAGAGACAGAATGAGGCAAGCCATTGCGCCCTATGATGATATCTTAACCACGCTAAAGAAACGCAAGTTAAAGTGGTTTGGGCAAGTATTGAGATCAGCAAGGCTTGCCAAGATAATTTTTTAAGGAACAGTGCAAGGAAGGGAGAAGAAGGGGCCAACAAAAGAAGCGTTGGGAGAATAATATCTCTCAGTGGACAGGGTTGAAGTTTTGCAACGCCCTAAGAGAAGCTGAAAACAAACTCAAATGAAGCGAAAGGGTTGCTAGGTCTGTGTTGCCCACTGGTCACCGTGACTATGGAATAGGTGCAAGGTGCAAAATTATAAAAAAAAGTTCCTGTTTTAAAACATCATTAAATTGCAAATCTTCCAACAGTCACTCCAAAGATATAGAAAAAGGATGGAACTGATTTTACTCAAATATATATCCAGTCATTGTTAGGTTGGCCAATACTCTTGAGTAGGTGATATTTTGTTACCTAATTCTTTCCTCCGTTTTTCTATTTGCTCCACCATACTGCGCTTCTTCTGTAAGAGGGAATGAAAGAAAAACAAAGGAACAGTTTAATGAAATTATACATATATAAAGCCATTCTGGAAAACTGTTATCCTGGAGGCATCATCAATGCAGTCACTAGCTTATGACCACTAAGCTGTAGTGTTCAATAGCATTTGAATTCAATTCACAATCAATTCACCTTAGCATTACAGAATATTGTAACAGCAAACACTATTTTCTCTTTCATGAACTTAATTGATAAAACTATTTTCTGTGAGTGAAAGACCTAAATTAAAAGATGTTCCCTAATTTTATGGTAAAACCAACCTCCAATTTCAGCTCCCTCCTTCGCTCTTTTTCCTTCTTTGTCAAGTCTTCTTGGGCTTTTTTCCTCCGCTCATTTTTCCTCTTGCGAAATCCAAGAAGATATTCTCTGAAATTTCAAAAACCCATCATAACCTTGAATTTCAAAACGAGACCAGCTGCAAACTGCTTTGAATAAAATCTTTTACCAAGAACTTTTTGACAGGTGTAAGCTTAGGTTGTTTGAAAAACACAATACCAAACTACAAACCTTCGAGAATTTTCATCAAAAACGAGAACTTTCTTTTCTTTCTTTAGCTTCTTCTTGGCCGCCATATTGAATCACCACTGACCTCGACTATCGCAGGCCCAAAAAACATTGGTTACCAGGTTCCTGAGCAAAACGCGCGGGAAAATCAAATTAAAAATGGCGGAAAACGTAAACACTCTGTCGCGGTTTTCAAAGCTTCCAGACAAGAATCAAGCCACTGCTTTGGTAAGTCAAAACAAACCGGGAACTAAGGGAAAACCAGTTTTGGTTTTCCTTGGTCCTCTACTGTATTCTTACTCTTTCACGAATGATTTCTACAATCACCTTATTGTTATTTCAGTTTGTGGGTGTCAAGGGAATTGGAAAGCACCGCGTTGCAAGATCTACGCTAGCTGTTCACACTGATTTCTCTGTACAAATGTAGGTCTGGTTTAATCTTATTCTTATTTTAGTTCTACTGGAGATATTTTGATAGGAGTCTTAGCTAGAAAAAGTCGCGCTACATGCATAATCTTCAACTTAACGAGGGACGTGGGTGAGATCAGATCAGAGAATGGATATTTATTTGTATTTGTGAACTTTTTAAATAGTTTTCTTATTATTAACAGCCGTATTGCTACTGGTCTGCCATTGCCAGAGGACAGTGAGAACGCAAGGCCAAGAATTGATTTTATAGTGCTGTTTGTTGACTTGACCAATAACTTGAGGTACAATGTAATATAATGAATACAATCTTTCAATTGATACCCCCAGTAGAGTTAACAGGCAAGGCAGCGTACATTGGAAAGGTTCAAAATGCTGTATTATATCTGTTCCATAATACCATGTGTACAGCATCATGCAGGGCTGTCACTAAGATTTCAAGTTGCCGAGTAAATACAACAAGTGGGCGGGGAATCAAACAGCTGGGGATTTCTTTTGGTTCTATTTTTCTTCTATTTTCCTTTGAAAGTAGCCGGGGGAAATCCCCTGCCCCCACCTCTTAATGACAGCCCTTAGCTTGAGAGCCTGGGGATCAAGGGAATGAGGTGGCTTTGAATGAAAATAGGCATGTTCTCTTTTAAATCATAACTCAAATGCCATTTTTCTGGTGGGAGGGGGTGGGGTTAAAATTCATCTTCATAGTAAAGATCCAAGAGATTCAAGAATTTGTCTTGGAGTGCTTTTGCCAGCTCTGAAACAAATGTTACAAAACATTCTTAAAAATTGACTTTATTACTGAGTGGCTATTCAGGGTATGTACTCAAATCTGCAACACCATCCGTGTTTCAGCGTGTACATGCAAACTAGGGTACTTTTATCTCAAAGGAGGGGTACTCTAAGAATTCTTGGGTAGAGGTGTGCTGGAAAGACCGACCTGAAATCTTTGACCGAGACCAAGCTCTACTGCAATGTTGCTACCCTATTCTAGATTAGCCAGCAAAAACCCTCCCCCCCCCCCCCCATCCCAGACTAAACACATGTAGAAACAAAAAACTCCACATTGCTTTAACTTATCTTTCTCATTAAGTTTGGAAACAATCAAAGCTTCAGTCAAACAAATGGACATTGACTACTTTCTGGGCCACTGCTGCTTTGTAGTAGTGCAAGGTATGTTTCCTTCCCCCTGTTATGAAATACCATAGCTGTTGCTTCTCAGAGAGGAATCTCTATCTCCTGGGACAGGGAAGCCGCGGGCATTTGCACAACAACATTTACAAATCCCCCTTAACCCACCCAAGAAAAATAATTATTTCTCCATAAGAAGCTAACTACAATCACTCCTTTCCCTGGGGGCAATAGTTTGTTCAGATGAATTCCAAGGCACATGCAGATTGCAAGGAAATTTTCTTCTTGTTTTACTAAAAATACCTCTTTGTAATGTAAAGGGTTGATAAAAAATAAGGAAATAAAGTGCACCTGTCTACTGCACGTGATGTTCAAGTTAGTTTGTAAGTCATGGACAACATTGTTGTTGTAGGATTCACTGTATTCTTCCTTTTTCGCTAGATGCATTCAAAATCACGCGTTTTTTCTTCAGTCTTTTTCCTCCTATCGCATGCATTCTGAATTAAGCGGTTACGATTAGTTGCTAGAGGATTCATTCACTGAATTAAAAATATTTTAAGGAGAACAGAATGTTACAATAATCACTGCAACATTATGAGCAAGCCAAAACAACAATAATTATTAGTGAACGTGTTTGCTCCCTTTGTTTCTGTCAAAGGCATTTTATTAACATTACATACATTTGTCTTATTTCAGCCAAAAATGAAGCCAAACATGCTGTTAGCATCCAGGAAGTAACAAGCCTTGCTGACAGCTTTGATTCACCTTTAATTTGTGCAGACTTGAGGGTGAGTTCAAGATCCCAGCGGTGAGATCTTCTATAAAATGCTTACTCCCAATGAAAGAATTACCTTGCATGAGTACAGTGTAGTTTCTCACTTGCAGTTGCTGGATAATCTCATGTGAAGAAACCCCAAGAATTATTTGTGTAAGCAATATGAAGGGCAAAGCTAGCCCTGACCAGTTGCGTAGAATTGCATTATTGCATTATTTAAATGATATATATTTTTTAATTTTTCCATTTCTATCTATCATATTTTAGGCCTCACTTTCTTAATCAGAACCGAGAGATTGACGTTAGAATAATGTCTTTGTTTTTAAATTTGCACCTATTAGAAAGAGGAAGACATCAAATTCTTGTCAACAAAACTTGTTCACCTTCTTCAAGTATCCTGTGGATTCTGTGCAGATGTCACAACATTACTACTGGACACAACAAGAAAATCATTTGTGTTTGAGGATGAATTAAATGGCATGATAGAGTAAACTGGTCACAAGAACATGTTAAGTCTACCAGTTCATTGAGTGTCAACTGAAGATCATAAAAACAGGATGCCTTGTCATTCAGGATACTCTCTTCTAAGCCCTTGTCATGCCTTTTTGTCTGCATTGTTGGTCGGGCATGATACCACAAAGCCAATTCTGCTTACATTTTTGTCTGAGATGTTTTGTTACTAACAAATCATGGAAAAAAACTTTTGCTGTACATTAAGTAAGCTATTTTATTATATAAACACCAATGAAATACCAGGTGAGCTTTTGCGCGAAAACTTGGTATCTTCACATGTGAAAATAACATGTTATCTTCACATGTGAAAATATCACCGTTGCTATGGCTACATAATAAATCGTGCCTTTCACACCAAAAAACTATTAAAGTGAAATGGTTTGGTATTTCATTGGTGTTTATATAATAAATAGAACATTACATGGCCGCTTGGAGATATGAAATTTCTCTTCTCATGTTGAAAAAATACTTCATGAGTGAGTGCAGCGAACGAGTGAAATATTTTTCAACACTCAAAGAGAAATTTTGTATATCTGTGTGCGGCCATGTAATATCCTCTATTGTTTCGTTAGTCACAGAGTGCAGTATTGCATTATGAACTAAAGCCTGGTTGTTTTCAACAACCAACCTGTGACACAGCTTCAGGTATGATATTGCATTGAGATATGGAAACATATACCACCAGTGGCAAGAGCCATCAAAGGTCATTACTGCCAGCAAGCCTGGGATGTTAATCTCACGTCGACTTTGCAGGGACCCTATCAGTGGAGACTAAGATGGAGCCTGTTGCTGTTGCTGTTGGAACAGTGTTAGGCAGTACCAACAGCTATGTCACTACAGTCTAACCTCTCCTTACGGACACCTCTCTATTATGGACAGTTTGTTTGGTCCTTGAAATGCCAAAGATCATACATTCCTACCTCTATTAATATGGACACCTCTGTAAAGCAAACACTTGGTTCTATCCCTTTGGTGTCCATATTAAAGAGGTTTGACTGTAGCTGCATAGCTGGTGGGATACCATAAAATTCCGAAAAAAAGGCCCCTCCATGTATAAGCCCCTCCAAATATAAGCCCCCCCAAACCGGTAACGTAAAAAAACCTCCATTAAATCGCCCCTCCAAATATAAGCCCCTGGGGGCTTGTAATTGGAAAATTGCCCTCAAATACAAAGAAAAACTAAGCAAATATGGTAAATTTACTTCCAACCATAAGGCTAGCCCAATTGATTTTGAAACGCAAATTTCCCTCCGTAGATAAGCCCCTCCGAATATAAGCCCCTCAAAATGGCCTTTGAAAAATATAAGCCCCGGGACTTATTTTCGGAATTTTACAGTATATCACATGCAACTGCCTTTTTCCGCAGGTCCTTTTGTTATTGTTTGAGCTCTAAAGCCACAAGAAAAATGGAAACAAAAAAATTCAGATGCCTTGTGGCCTTCTGCTGGCTAAATTCATTAGCTCCACCACTGAAAATCACCAACTCACTCTGATCCTGCCAACTTGGCAGGCTACTATGTCAAACAGAGACAGAGATTCAAGCTTTTGTTCATTCTACTATAGACTGCTAGTTGTTACATTTTGACAAGCCTTGATTCATCCTCAAAAGATAAAAAAGTGTCATGAAAAAAATGGCTGTCGGCGAGGGCAAAAATGCACAGTTTATCTCTACAACAGTATTTGGTTAATTTAAACTAAATTTTTCATCATCTTCAGACTAAAATTTGTTTATTCATTTCTTTTCAAGCATGTTGTACAATAAATTACTATCTACAGATTGGGAAATGTATAAATAAAATCAATAACAAAATAAAAATAACACATTAGCATTTTTGGTATTGCATTAGAAAATGATCTGTACTGCTGTATTTACATAAAAGATTCTGACAAGTGGATGAGCAAACTGCTCAACATTAAATCCAACATTTGCATCAATATCCACCCTTCTGTGTCGTACAAAACTAGCATGCGTTGATTGGCACTATGAACAAAAGATCTATTGATGTTCTGAACCACTGACTGCACCTATTTGACTTAGCATCTTCCCCTCTCTCTAAGCCCTAGAGTCTCCTAGAGAAAATAGTTGTACAGTGGAAGCTATCATAATAGACACTCCTGTAAGCAGACAACTCCACTTATGGCCACCTTCACAAAACCCTGTTTTACTCAACTCCAATGCAAACTCTGCATTTTTACATTCTCGTAAGCGGCCAGCTCCAGGTATGAACACCTTTTTCACGTCCCGAGGGTGTCTGCTTACAAGAGCTTCATGTACTTAGTACTCATGTTTATAGACTTACTACTGAAATAATTATGTCAATGAAAATTTGTGACTGGGTATGAACATTCTATTCTACTTAAAAAGATGTTGCCTTGTCCTTCTCCTTAACTAAAATGGAGAATTCATGCCCAATTTGGTGCCAAACTTTAATTTGGCTCTTCTCTGGTGTCTGATCCACTCCCTGTAATAATAAAATGAGGGTTAAAAATTGCTGCAGTGGAAGATTTTCTGAATAATTATTCCATCATTATCATTACTGTGAAAGGTTTGAACCTAGGAATCTTTTCATAAGTAGGTTGAGTATGATTGTCCGCGTGAACGTAGTCCTGAATAGGACTGTTTCTGTTGACAGTGACTAGCGTTTCGACAACCTGTGCCGTAGTCACCTTCAGAGTCAAAGGGATTATCATTACTCTTTGTGACAAGTAACATCACTGTGTATACTGGGCCAACATAGGATTTTGAGACACCACTTACAAAATCTAACATTGTGCACATGTAATGATAAGCTATGTACATTTTTACAACAAAACTATTGACCACAACAGTTCATAATTTTTTTTGTACAGACAGGTGTATCAGAAGATGAACTTTTTCTTTTTCTTAAAAACTGTTGAAAATGACAAATGCCCGAGTCCAATTTAACCGCTAAAAAATTAAACTCGAAAGGAAAATTTTTCTTTTTCAACAAAGAATGGAAAATTAAAATAATATAAGCCTCCCATGCAGATGTTCTTAGGGCTTTGTCATGATTTCCTGCAGCAGTGATGAAGCCCTAGGAATGTCTGCGTATGAGGGTACGAAAATATTTACTTGTCATTTTTATTAACTATTAAAGTTAATGATCACCACCGTGTGACATGTGGAAACCAGGGGTAATGCTTATCGTCAACACTAAATTTAATACATGTCTTGCACACAGTAGTGGGTCACAGACAACCATGTACTTCAATTATCAGGTGGTAAAATGAAGTTATCTTACTTGATATATCTCCTTTTAAAGAGTTCACAAATTGCAAGAGCAACAACAGGCCATAGAATGGTGATGATGATAGAGGGTACTGGAACATTAGTGATACTGTATACAGGTGATCTATGCTGAGTCCAACCAACTTGAGATAATGCAAAGTAGATTACATGGAGTGTCAAGCTGTACATAAAATGGAAAGTAGCAAGATAGTTTAGTTCACAACACATCGGGAGGCAATGAATAAGTGGAGATTGAATGTGTTTTTTTCAATATGTTTGGTACACCATACAGGGCTCAAAATAACGGCCAATCAACGCACAATGTCCGACCCGAATGGCGACTACACCAGCTACACTCCTAAAAATTTCAATCAGAGGTCATGTTGACCTGTCACACACACTGTCATAATTCTTGAACAAACGGCCAAATCTTAGATTTTTGTCTCTGCAAAACACATATTTCACAAATCGAAAATCACATTTGTAAGGATTAGTTAATTTTTTTCTAGCACTTAAACCATTCAGAATGAGACTTGACCAAGCAAAATTTCTTTGGCTGGTCATTGTGTCTGGCCACCAATCAAAAAATTAATTTGAGACTTGACAATACAAGTAAGGAAGTCTCATCTCATTTCGTACTATTTTTTGGACACTGATTTCAAATCTTTGTACCTGGTAAAAAGCAAAGTTTTAATACTTACAGAACAGCCACTGTGCAGATCCAAGACTTATTTACAAAAGGTGATTTTCTCCAGAGTAAATGAAGACGATGCACATAACTTGAGGAAATAAGTACTGGAGAAAAAATGACATCAACATAGTTTTACATTTTGTTACTTTTTAATGTAGTCTTTATGCTGTTAGAAAAATTTACTGTATTCCAATAAACTTCTTCCAAAGGACAAATAGTCTTGGCCGTAACCTCTGAAAATTCTATGTCCACTTCAGACAGGTTTACATACCCAGCCCTTCCCCACCATTAGCAGTCCCAATTTGTTACACAGGTGAACTTCTATTAAACAGCCACCACTGAAGAAGGAAAAAGGGAGTGTGTCCAGTTTCAACTGAAAAGTCTGGTTCCATCTAACTGATCCAACATTTGTTATTTAGAATCTGGTGTAAGAAAAAGATTGGGTCTTAAACAGGGACAAAATTGCAAGATTGATCCAAAGTTTTGTTCCATTGACACCATGATAAAAGTTTGGTTGAAATAAAGATTGCACCCTAGGTGAGTTCAAAAATGATTGTGGTTTCCAAAGCAACCATAACCACGCTGCAGTTTCTGCACTTGTTCATGAGGTCAACAAATAACTCAGTAGCACAACCTTATGGCTAGTGTTCTCACACATAACAAATAATGATGTTTTCAGAGGTAGCATATCCACATAGCCAGGTTCTTTGCCTACTATTCCAGCTGGTTAAATTGGAATTTGGAAGTGTCGGTTTTTGAGGAGAGGGGGATAAAAGAGTAGCCAGAGAAAAATCTCTCAGAGTAAAGGAGAGATTAGCAACAACAAACCCAGCCCACATATGCCGTTGACACCGTGATTTGAACCCAAGCCAAGTTGGTGGAAGACAAGTGCTCTCATCACTGTGCCACCGCCACTTGCTCTTCATTCCCCATTACATGTTGTTTACGAATATGCATGTATTTAAAAAATTGGTAATGTGAACTTCTGCTGAAATAAATGAAAGTACATGTGATCCTCACGGTCAAATGACTAACCTAAGGCTTGGAAAAAAAGTGTATGTTTATTGATTGAAAAAAACAAAACAAAAAAAAACCACAAAACAAATTTAGACTTGACCAAGAATAATCAATGCTTGCCTTGGCATTACACCTTGACTTACCAAAAAGAAGAACAAGAAAAAACATGTTGATATCTTGAGCTAAAGCCAGTGCTTGAATGTGACTCTGCCCCAGACCATTCCAGACTTCACTGCTATTCCTTTAGGTTAAATGAAAACAATTGCCACTACTCTTTGCATGTTAATTATTTATAAATGAGATACAAAGTGGGTGGTGGAGCATCACACCGCTTGTAACATTCTGTGAATTAATGCTCTTACTNACACCTTGACTTACCAAAAAGAAGAACAAGAAAAAACATGTTGATATCTTGAGCTAAAGCCAGTGCTTGAATGTGACTCTGCCCCAGACCATTCCAGACTTCACTGCTATTCCTTTAGGTTAAATGAAAACAATTGCCACTACTCTTTGCATGTTAATTATTTATAAATGAGATACAAAGTGGGTGGTGGAGCATCACACCGCTTGTAACATTCTGTGAATTAATGCTCTTACTTTCAATATCTCATACACTTGCTCACCTTACAAGCAAAACTATGTGACTATAAACTAAACTAAAATGTATTTTTTGGTGAATTTAGTATAAATTATTATACCCTCTACCACTTGTCTTTGAGTACCTGTTTCTGGCTGTCTTATCTTCCAATCACTCAAATCTGATCTTAGCCTTGCTTATATGTTCTATCACTGATATTATTTGAGATTTTATTCTCTCTCTTGCTGCTGCTGATTATCTGAACATGATGCTGTCCAACAAGAAAGCTCTTGCTACTTTGGACTCTGTGCACAAATTAATGAACTTATTGTCTTTTAGCTTAATGATTATTTTATTTATCAGCTACGTTGTTCTCCTTTTTATGTACACTTGTGTAAATGCCTTTCATGGTGTGAAATAAAGAAAGATTTACGATCACTTGTTCTTTTCATTTGTAAATTTTTCAAGGGGGATTCCACCAGGTCCACATGCTTGTGTTAACGATTAAGCTGAGGAACGTTGTTGATATGGCTTAGCTAGCAACAGAATGCTATGCTAAAAGGGCCTAAGAAAACCAAACCAGCCTTCTGAAATTATGCTTTAAAAAAGCCGCACAATTTTATCTTACCTGTATCCTAGTAGGTAATGACAGTCACTGGATTTCTTGTTTAAAGAACGGCAAATATCACGTAGATTTAGTGGAAAAAGAACCAGGCAGCATACACAAACAGAAGGAAAGAAGCACACAAGGAACAAAATGCAAACTCTATATGTGATATCCTGAAAGGGAACAAAGAAATACCCGTCCACTCCTGATTGGCTGAATCAGTAGAGCTTTATATAAAATCATACATAGGCGTACTTAAATTGACATGGGGTGGAATAAATGGCTAATCACTATGCAAAGAAAGTAGTGTCCAATAACCAGGGCTAGTAGCTTTTGCTATCGGGTTAGTGAATTCTGTTCTTAACGTGCCCAACGGGCAAGTGAAGTTTTTTGAGGAATTCAAATTACAGAAAAACTGTGAAATCAATTCTGCTAATCAAAACGTTTTGGGGCTACTATTGAAATGGCTAGTAAATGCCAGCTTTATCTTACCCGAAAGGCACGCTGTAAAAATGACTTTCTTTGCACACTGCTAATACAGAAAATATGCCTTGGAACGTAAAAATTCCTAACAGTACAAAATGTACCAGAAGCACAAAAGGGTAATGATTTTACATACCAGGCCATCTGCAGAGTTTGTTTGGGAAACATTCCTGCAAGCAAGCTCACCAGGACACCCTGTTGACTAGTCCCTAACCCTCATTATTCTTCATGGTCTATGCATTTTGGGTCACGAGGTCTGAGCAAGTTTTTGACCCATTTGTCTTAGATACATCACCGAAATGCATTGACAGAGAAGGTCTGGAAGACCCTGTACAAGAACTAGGCAAGACGCTCTGAAGGCCTGATTTCCCCAGGAGAGCCTACCATTTATTCACATGTACGTGCTATGCACAAATTTACCTTGAAGTTTTTGTCATTTTTTCCTGTGATCATTGTCATAAGATCCTGATCAGCCGAGGAACCAATCAAAGACAGACTCAACAGGGGTACTGTCAGGCATGTCAGCCATAAAATATGGAGCCCTGTTAAGGGAGGAGGGAGGAGGAAGAATGACGATAGAAGCATGACGGCAGAAAGTACCAGCTGACATGACAGCATGAAGGAGAAGCAGTTCATGAGTCCAAAGCATAGGTGACGTGCCTGCAATGTAAACAGTAATATTTATTTTAATTAGTGACATTATTTTATGGTAAGACTTAAAAGTGAACAACAGTGTGCTTAACAGACATCAGGCAGTGTCTCCTACATACTATATAAGCTAAGCTTGACTTTCATGTTAAAAGAATATTGAAAGTGCAATCAATGTTGATTCTTTAGTAATACATAACTAAATACAAACGTTTCCCCCATTTAAGCTTGACAGTTCATTCAGATTTTGACTAGCAAGTGTTCTTAGAATATGAAATTACAATCGGCAACAAAATTAGTTGAGACACTTCACCCTAAAGGGGCTTTCTGATGTTTTACTGCCTCCAAATGGGGAAAACAAGGCTTTTTCTCCCCTATCCCCTCCATGTAATGTTGTGCCGCTGTTCGAGCTACCTATAGAAAACAACAAACACCCCAACTTTGAATGGAGGGGAGGAGAGAGGGGTGTGGATTCTTTTATTCTCTGAACTTACCTCATTTGAGTACGATGTCTCAACAATTTTGACACCAATTGCAGCCTAAGAGGTCTTTTCAACGGCAACGTTTCTGCATTTCATGGGGTGCATGGCCATAAAAAAGACCTTCAATTTTCATACTTTTTGACACATTTTATCATTATTTTGTTAGCCTATGTACCAATTTCTTAGTACCATCACTCATGCTTTAAACTTCCACAGATGTCTGGTAACCTACGGAGTATTACAAGTATTACAAATAATAAAAAAGGGAACTGACCTCTTTGATTAAAACCTTAAAATCAAAGCTGGCATCTCTGTGGAATGCCAATGAGCAAGGTAGGGCATTAAGGAGGACACTCAACTCTAGTGGCGACAGCTCTAAAAATAAGATAAATAGAAACAATAATGGCTTGTTTACTTCAATCAAAGGTGATTGGAGTCTCATGATCTAAAATAATACTAATAAGAGTAATTTAAAAAAAAAAAAAGGCAACTTGATTGCAGTTTGTTAATGCCTATATTGATGGTCTGGAAGTACTTAAGGTCACAAGTCTAATTTTGACATTCACATAAATTACTTATAAAATTATTTTTCTCCACCCCAGAAAAGAGAACTTTTACCGCTAAAGTAACAAATGAGTAGGAAGGTATAATTTTAATGGCAGTATAATTTGATGAAAAGGGCCTGTTTTTTAAAGGATAATAGTGTATCTTGGATAAACAAACTAACTAGTTATATTGGATCAACAGGCACCAAAACTTTATTCAATTAAATAGTTTTAGATAGAAATATGACATCTAAAGTCTGATTTTCAAATTAGTTTATGAATCAATATGAATTCATACCATTCTCTTCCTCAGTAGACTGGTCTTCGCTTAGGCTTCGATGTATTTTTTGTCTAGCACTTTCATGACCAAGTCGAGGAGTTCCTGATCTAAAGTCTTTGGGCAGACCTTTTAAACAGAGCTGCGGGAATAAGGGTTCCACTGCAATACTGAAAAACCAATGCAAAAATAATAGTTTTTAATATCCATGTACTTCAATTATCAGGTGGTAAAATGAAGTTATCTTACTTGATATATCTCCTTTTAAAGAGTTCACAAATTGCAAGAGCAACAACAGGCCATAGAATGGTGATGATGATAGAGGGTACTGGAACATCAGTGATACTGTATACAGGTGATCTATGCTGACTCCAACCAACTTGAGATAATGCAAAGTAGATTACATGGAGTGTCAAGCTGTACATAAAATGGAAAAGAGCAAGATAGTTCAGTTCACAACACATTGAATGTGTTTTTTCAATACGCTTGATACACCATACAGGGCTCAAAATAACTGCCAATCAACGAACGATGTCTGACCTGAGTGGCGACTACACCAGCTACACTGTAAAAACTTCAATCAGAGGTCATGTTGACCTGTCACACACAGTCTAATTCTTAAACAAACGGCCAAATTCTCACCTAAAAATCTTAGCGTTTTTTGTCCCTTTGCAAAACACATATTTCGCAAATCGAAAATCACACAAGGATTAGTTAACTTTTTACCAGCACTTAAACCATTCAGAATGAGACTTGACCAAGCAAAATTTCTTTGGCTGGTCATTGTGTCCGGCCACCAATCCAAAAATTAATTTGAGACTTGACAATACAAGTAAGGAAGTCTCATCTCATTTCATACTATTTTTTGGACACTGATTTCAAATCTTTGTACCTGGTAAAAAGCAAAGTTTTAATACTTACAGAACAGCCACTGTGCAGATCCAAGACTTATTTACGAAAGGTGATTTTCTCCAGAGTAAATGAAGGCGATGCACATAACTTGAGGAAATAAGTACTGCAGAAAAAATGACATCAACATAGTTTTACATTTTGTTACTTTTCAATGTAGTCTTTATGCTGTTAGAAAAATTTACTGTATTCCAATAAACTTCTTCCAAAGGACAAATAGTCTTGGCCGTAACCTCTGAAAATTCTACGTCCGCTTCAGACAGGTTTACATACCCAGCCCTTCCTCACCATTAGCAGTCCCAATTTGTTATACAGGTGAACTTCTATTAAACAGCCACCACTGAAGAAGGAAAAAGGGAGTGTGTCCAGTTTAAACTGAAAAGTCTGGTCCATCTAACTGATCCAACATTAATTTGTTATTTAGAATCTGGTGTTAGAAAAAGATTGGGTCTTAAACAGGGACAAAATTGCAAGATTGATCCAAAGTTTTGTTCCATTGACCCTAGGTTAGTTCAAAAATGATTGTGGTTTCCAAAGCAACCATAACCATGCCACAGTTTCTGCACTTGTTCATGAGGTCAACAAATAACTCAGTAGCACAATCTTATGGCTAGTGTTCTCACACATAATAAATAATGATTTTTTTAGAGGTAGCATATCCACATAGTGGTTCTTCATCTACCATTCCTGGTTAATTGGAATTTGGAAGTGTTGGTTTTTGAGGAGAGGCGGAAAAAGGAGTAGCCAGAGAAAAACCCCTCCAGAGTAAAGGAGAAATTAGCAACAACAAACCCAGCCCACACATGTCGTCGATGCCAGGATTTAAACCCAAGCCACAGTGGTGGAAGACAAGCGCTCTCATCACTGTGCTACCCTTGCTCCCCATTCCCCATTACACGTTGTTTGTGAAAATGCATGTATTTAAAAAGTTGGTAATGTGAACTTCTGCTGAAATAAATGAACGTACATGTGATCCTCACAGTCAAATGACTAACCTAAGGCTTGGAAGTAGTTGAAAAAAACAAAAAAACAAATTTAGATTTGACCCAGAATTGAATGCTTGCCTTGGCATCACACCTTGACTTACCAAAAAGAAGAACAAGAAAAAACGTGTTGATATCTTGAGCTAAAGCCAGTGCTTGAATGTGACTCTGCCCCAGACCATTCCAGACTTCACTGCTATTCCTTTAGGTTAAATGAAAACAATTGCCACTACTCTTTGCATGTTAATTATTTATAAATGAGATACAAAGTGGGTGGTGGAGCATCACACCGCTTGTAACATTCTGTGAATTAATGCTCTTACTTTCAATATCTCATACACTTGCTCACCTTACAAGCAAAACTATGTGACTATAAACTAAACTAAAATGTATTTTTTGGTGAATTTAGTATAAATTATTATACCCTCTACCACTTGTCTTTGAGTACCTGTTTCTGGCTGTCTTATCTTCCAATCACTCAAATCTGATCTTAGCCTTGCTTATATGTTCTATCACTGATATTATTTGAGATTTTATTCTCTCTCTTGCTGCTGCTGATTATCTGAACATGATGCTGTCCAACAAGAAAGCTCTTGCTACTTTGGACTCTGTGCACAAATTAATGAACTTATTGTCTTTTAGCTTAATGATTATTTTATTTATCAGCTACGTTGTTCTCCTTTTTATGTACACTTGTGTAAATGCCTTTCATGGTGTGAAATAAAGAAAGATTTACGATCACTTGTTCTTTTCATTTGTAAATTTTTCAAGGGGGATTCCACCAGGTCCACATGCTTGTGTTAACGATTAAGCTGAGGAACGTTGTTGATATGGCTCAGCTAGCAACAGAATGCTATGCTAAAAGGGCCTAAGAAAACCAAACCAGCCTTCTGAAATTATGCTTTAAAAAAGCCGCACAATTTTATCTTACCTGTATCCTAGTAGGTAATGACAGTCACTGGATTTCTTGTTTAAAGAACGGCAAATATCACGTAGATTTAGTGGAAAAAGAACCAGGCAGCATACACAAACAGAAGGAAAGAAGCACACAAGGAACAAAATGCAAACTCTATATGTGATATCCTGAAAGGGAACAAAGAAATACCCGTCCACTCCTGATTGGCTGAATCAGTAGAGCTTTATATAAAATCATACATAGGCGTACTTAAATTGACATGGGGTGGAATAAATGGCTAATCACTGTGCAAAGAAAGTAGTGTCCAATAACCAGGGCTAGTGGATTTTGCTATCGGGTTAGTGAATTCTGTTCTTAACGTGCCCAACGGGCAAGTGAAGTTTTTTGAGGAATTCAAATTACAGAAAAACTGTGAAATCAATTCTGCTAATCAAAACGTTTTGGGGCTACTATTGAAATGGCTAGTAAATGCCAGCTTTATCTTACCCGAAAGGCACGCTGTAAAAATGACTTTCTTTGCACACTGCTAATACAGAAAATATGCCTTGGAACGTAAAAATTCCTAACAGTACAAAATGTACCAGAAGCACAAAAGGGTAATGATTTTACATACCAGGCCATCTGCAGAGTTTGTTTGGGAACATTCCTGCAAGCAAGCTCACCAGGACACCCTGTTGACTAGTCCCTAACCCTCATTATTCTTCATGGTCTATGCATTTTGGGTCACGTGGTCTGAGCAAGTTTTTGACCCATTTGTCTTAGATACATCACCGAAATGCATTGACAGAGAAGGTCTGGAAGACCCTGTACAAGAACTAGGCAAGACGCTCTGAAGGCCTGATTTCCCCAGGAGAGCCTACCATTTATTCACATGTACGTGCTATGCACAAATTTACCTTGAAGTTTTTGTCATTTTTTCCTGTGATCATTGTCATAAGATCCTGATCAGCCGAGGAACCAATCAAAGACAGACTCAACAGGGGTACTGTCAGGCATGTCAGCCATAAAATATGGAGCCCTGTTAAGGGAGGAGGGAGGAGGAAGAATGACGATAGAAGCATGACGGCAGAAAGTACCAGCTGACATGACAGCATGAAGGAGAAGCAGTTCATGAGTCCAAAGCATAGGTGACGTGCCTGCAATGTAAACAGTAATATTTATTTTAATTAGTGACATTATTTTATGGTAAGACTTAAAAGTGAACAACAGTGTGCTTAACAGACATCAGGCAGTGTCTCCTACATACTATATAAGCTAAGCTTGACTTTCATGTTAAAAGAATATTGAAAGTGCAATCAATGTTGATTCTTTAGTAATACATAACTAAATACAAACGTTTCCCCCATTTAAGCTTGACAGTTCATTCAGATTTTGACTAGCAAGTGTTCTTAGAATATGAAATTACAATCGGCAACAAAATTAGTTGAGACACTTCACCCTAAAGGGGCTTTCTGATGTTTTACTGCCTCCAAATGGGGAAAACAAAGCTTTTTCTCCCCTATCCCCTCCATGTAATGTTGTGCCACTGTTCGAGCTACCTATAGAAAACAACAAACACCCCAACTTTGAATGGAGGGGAGGAGAGAGGGGTGTGGATTCTTTTATTCTCTGAACTTACCTCATTTGAGTACGATGTCTCAACAATTTTGACACCAATTGCAGCCTAAGAGGTCTTTTCAACGGCAACGTTTCTGCATTTCATGGGGTGCATGGCCATAAAAAAGACCTTCAATTTTCATACTTTTTGACACATTTTATCATTATTTTGTTAGCCTATGTACCAATTTCTTAGTACCATCACTCATGCTTTAAACTTCCACAGATGTCTGGTAACCTACGGAGTATTACAAGTATTACAAATAATAAAAAAGGGAACTGACCTCTTTGATTAAAACCTTAAAATCAAAGCTGGCATCTCTGTGGAATGCCAGTGAGCAAGGCAGGGCATTAAGGAAGACACTCAACTCTAGTGGCGACAGCTCTAAAAATAAGATAAATAGAAACAATAATGGCTTGTTTACTTCAATCAAAGGTGATTGGAGTCTCATGATCTAAAATAATACTAATAAGAGTAATTTGAAAAAAAAAAAGGCAACTTGATTGCAGTTTTTTAATGCCTATATTGATGGTCTGGAAGTACTTAAGGTCACGTCTAATTTTGACATTCACATAAATTACTTATAAAATTATTTTTCTCCACCCCAGAAAAGAGAACTTTTGCCGCTAAAGTAACAAATGAGTAGGAAGGTATAATTTTAATGGCAGTATAATTTGATGAAAAGGGCCTGTTTTTTAAAGGATAATAGTGTATCTTGGATAAACAAACTAACTAGTTATATTGGATCAACAGGCACCAAAACTTTATTCAATTAAATAGTTTTAGATAGAAATGTGACAGCTAAAGTCTGATTTTCAAATTAGTGTATGAATCAATATGAATTCATACCATTCTCTTCCTCAGTAGACTGTTCTTCGCTTAGGCTTCGATGTATTTTTTGTCTAGCACTTTCATGACCAAGTCGAGGAGTTCCTGATCTAAAGTCTTTGGGCAGACCTTTTAAACAGAGCTGCGGGAATAAGGGTTCCACTGCAATACTGAAAAACCAATGCAAAAATAATAGTTTTTAATACGATACTTGAAGAAAAAAAAATACCACAATAACAACTACACTGCCGTACTTATATGTTCACTACCAGTATAAGCTGATTTTCTGGAGATAAATCCTGTAAAGACCTCAAAGGATAGTAGGAACCACAGTTAATACATACATACATACATGCAAATACTTGATTAATATTTTGATCCTTTTAACACAGCTTTTAAAATCGAATAGGAAAGAATGTGAATTGTTCTCAAGGGACCATTATTTAGCAATTTCTCTTCCAGGGGCCAAGGAAAAAAAAGCAATTAGGAAGAAATAAACACAAATAACTCAGTGGCTCTAATGTAGTGACATAATTCTATTTAGTTTATAATAAAAGCCCCAACAATGCTGCACAGAGCTGTAAATAACAGTCAGTCGTCAGGCAGTGACTTACGAAAATATGCCCATATAAAGACTATCATATTGCAGCTGAAAAGTGGAATTAAGTAATAAAAGAAATCAAAAGTCAACCTAATATATATTTCCAACAATTTTATCTGGTTTGTCCAATTAAGGCCCTAATTTATTATATGTGAAAAAGATCCCAGGTTAAAAGTGTCACCCACCTACACAAGCTACCCTGGGTGATCATGAGTGGCCAACTTTTCATTCATTTCCTAACAAAATGTGGTAACATGGGAAACAAAAAGTTGACTTTGCTAGAAGGGTCACCCCCCTAGCCTGGCCAACTTTTCTCCTTGTGCACAATTTGGCTCACCCAGCCGGGTCATTTCGGTCAAGACGAAACAATCAAAGCATGTGCGAGCACCGTTTTAGACAATCAGAGCTTCTGCTAGAGCTGTTGGCTTGGACAAAGAGGTCAACTTTTTTTCATATAAATGCTCACTAAAGTAGAATTGACTGAGCGGGTGACCTCTGGACCCAGGACAGGTTTTCTCCACATAAACAGGGTCTAAGACAGCGACCTGGTTGAATAATTTACGCCCCTCCTCAAAAGAAAAATAATTTGCAGGCCCTCTGCAGCTACCAAATCTACTTTTAATGAAAATGAGGTTAAATCAAACTTAAAAATTTTATAAGAATAATTATTTGGTGAAACTGAAACAATTTGGCTTCTTCTTACCTAAGATCTGCTTGGATAAATATAGCAGGGTTAACTGAATTAAATGAACTTCCAACACAACAAACAACTTCTCCATAATCTTGCATTATAGAGATCATCTCTTGAACAGCTGCCAAAAAATATAAAAGGTCAATATATTATTTAATTAATCATTTCTTTAAACACCTTCTTCAGTAGCCATGTCAAACTTGTCTTGAGAGCAGAATTTGATTTTAAAAATAACTACAATAACAAATGATAACCTTACTTTTACCTAGTACTTTTGAAAAAATAATGGTGTGCAATAATAATAATTTTATTTTTAATAAGCACAATTACTCTATTTGTAATCATTATGTTACTCAACAGACAAAGAGATTGTTTACAAATAATTTTTTATTACACTCTGAATCATGATATTCTTACCAGCTGGTGAACAATCAGTAAACAATGGAACGAGAAGAGGAACATTATCAACATTCTCCAGGTGAGGTCTGATATTTTGCACCCCTCTAGGAAGTTTAGCCTGTCACAAAAAAATGATAATTAATACTTTGTTGGTACATGGCGTGCCTAACTTTAAGAGAGCCAATCTTAATTAGACGTGGAGTCAGGAGATCTCTAGAGAGAGTTTGTAGTTGCAATCATAAGGTTGTTTTGGTCAGTAAACTTTTAATACCCCTAAAATGGTGAGATCTCTTGTGCAATGACTGATCATTTCACCAATTTTCACAGAGAAACTGTAGTAAGAGTAAATGCAATGATAGTTCAGAAGCATTAATAACAAGATCAACCCTTTGCCCAATTCTTTCAACCAGCAATCAAAGTAAAGTCTAAGTCCTCCTAAGTGGACACCCTAGGTGATTTTGTGGGTGTCTGCTTGCAGAATGTTGGCAAAAATTCAAGCATGATAAATAGTGTTGAAGAACGGCTTTCCTGCCATAGCCTTGTTTTCTGGTATGGTAAAGTGACTTGTTTGACATACAGTCAAACCGGATTTAATGGACACACACTTAAGTATATGGACACCCACTAAAGTATATAGACACTCACTTAAGTATATGGACACCCACTAAAGTATATGGACACCCACTTAAGTATGTGTACACCCACTAAAGTATTATGGACAGCTCATTATTACAGATGGAAGAGATTAATCCACCCAAAATTAGTCCCATTTAGTTTAAAAAGAGTTGCGACATTGCATACAAAGAGTAACATAACCAGTTTGAGTTTTGGCAGGAGACTGCATAGTCACCCAAGTCCTTCCCAGCTACAACAGCCATACTAGAGCTATGCCATAGCAAATCTACTAGACAAGTACACATTGATTACTTGGAATACTGTATCATTACCCTGTTTGCAAAGAACCAGTAATCCTCAGGTGCTGATATCTGACTGCTACTCAACAGAGTACCTCCATCACTGTGGCTTTCAAGTAAGGGATCCACTTCTTCTGTGGCTTCAGCCTTATTAGGAACTGTTCAATAGCAAGGAGACATTATTATTAAAATTAAGATAAATACAGTCGAGTCTATACTAAAGGCCCAGCAGATATATTCACTTCCTTGTTTTAAAATCTCTCTACACTGGCCACTTCAATTCCCTATGACTCTCGATTGTACCTCATGTCTCCAAGGTGCTCCTGGAGAGGTTAAAATTAAATACTAACTACATGTACAATAAAAACCTCCTTTAAGTGACTGTCCAAAAATGCCAGGATTTAGTGGTTACTTACAACAGTTGGTCACCTATGAGGTACCCACTATCAAAATTACACCACTTTGACTGAAAAAAACTGATTTTGGCATTTTCAATGGGTTACCACTTGCAAGGGGTGGTTAACTTATGATCACGAGAGTTAAATTAAATTTTAGAAAATGATTCACAGAAACATGATGTGCACATTTAAAGAGCTAGTGACAATACCTTTTTCAGGCAATTCATCACTACGAACTCCCCACCAACTGACATGTTTTTCATCGCCTTCTTGTCCAGCCACATTTATGTCATCTTGAGTATCAAAAAGACTCTCTGCATTTCTTTCTGATACTGTTGCACTGCTGCCTCGGTCCTCAATTAGTTGACCACCCTCTCTTAAAGAAATGTGACAATTCCAGCCTGTTTCCAGGCCCATGCGCTCTGCAAACACCTAAACATGAATTATATCATAGTCATTTTGCAGGAATTTTGGCTCCAACAGTGCATGCTGTCGGCATTGGTAACTCTGAGGTCACATGGCATCTAATGATGAAACTGTTTCCTGTCAAAAGTCTCAGAGTCAACAATACTGCAAAATCTATGATGTCAGAGGGCAACACTGGTGCCTTTTTACCTCTTACCTGTAAAATGTTGAATTCTTGCTGAGATTTTCATTAATTTGCATGCATAAATTAAAAGTGCAATAAAGTAGTTATCAAATCTTAATGTTTTACTTCATTCTGCCTCAGAAACACTAAAATAATTGTTGGGAAACAAAACTAACTGTTTCTCTTACGATGTTTAGGGGTTTACTGTCAGTCCAAAGTGGAACAAATGCCTACACAATCCAGAACAGAGTCTGGCCCTTACCCTGCTTCTCATTTCATTTTCAGCTGAAAAATAAACAAATCGGATCCCAGCATTATTTAGGTCTTCAATGAGTGGAAGAATGTCCTGTAAGAATAAAATTCAAGTGTAAGCCAAAGGAGACAAGATTTCATAATCCAAACCCAGAATTCAAAATGTAGGAATTAATTCACCTAGTTTGAGCTCTCTGCACCAAAACAGAGCTTAGATCAATCATAAAAATTCTATTTAAAATCAGGAAGATGGTTCTTACTGCTGTAAGCCATATACATGGCTGAATGATTCAAGCCGTCAATACATTTGTACCTTTTTAGCTTTAAACTGTAGTGTCACCACTCCAATGAAGATTTGACCACCAAGAATGCTGCAAAAGCAAAAAATGTGAATTACTTGAAACAAATTTGGGCAAATACATGTTAGAAGACCAATGATTAAAAAAAAATGATTTAAACTAAATACCTCTGATATTCCTCTGCATTCTCCACAACATTCACTCTGTCTAAGAGGGATGCTGCTGATTCTTCTGCATTCAGTTCAGAAGGCATTGTCTGTCACCAAGCACAAAGACATCATTTATTGATAAGTTCTCTAACAAAACACCATTGAAGATGTTATAAGATCTGTCATTTAATTATGATTTTATGACAGACAGTCAAGACACAAAGAAATTAACTTATCAAACTGGTTAAAGCAATAATTATTGTTTGATAAATTTGAATGATGAAACTATAATGTAGAAATATTGAAACATTATTTTTAAACAAAGAAGAGGTTAAGCAGCATAAGGGAATTAAAATTTGTTTGATTTTTTCAATTGGTCACAGCCATCTTCAGCTGTGTGCTCTGAGCTGTTAATTCCCATCAAAAGATTTGCAAAAGACTGATGTTTACAAAATACAGATATATTCTGTCCACTAAAATCTACAACAACTGTTTGCATTAATAGCTTGATGAGTTGGATGAAATCTGAAACTTATGATTTTCAAAGGTTTTTTCAAACTCTCTAAAACTGGGCTGGTTCAAACCCCACCGGCTTTTTTTGTAAAATCAGGTTTTCTTAACAATATGAAGGGTTGTGATCATGCACGTACACTTTGTTAAATTGTTAACTTACAATAGGAATGTATAAAAATGTTGAAAAACTGTTACTGATGCTGACTTGTTTAATTTGTTTGTTTGCTTTTTTTTACTAAACAATTTTCTAAGAAAGAGATAAGGCTTTGCCATTCATAGAGAATAAAATTAATTAGAAAACATTGTGCAAATGACATTATTATATACTTACAAAAACAGTGGTCTCATCAAATTTATCTTCAGCGTCTTCTTCTGAGACTTCAGAGGCACTGATAAAGAAACAATCAATGGATCAACATACTGACTTCAGCTTCAAACTGAATGGTTATCAACAAAAAAATTATTGAATATCCAAGGAATAATTAAAAGTTCTTTTGACTTCTCAAAATTCTCAATGCAAGAAGGCCCATATGCGACCAGCTAGTCTTAATATTGTCACACAATACACAAACACATTGAGAGTGACTTTAATAAAAATCATTTGCACCTTTCTATATCATCATTATCACTAAACGATAACCATCGAGTTGTAGATGGCAGCTCTAAGTACACATCACTGCTGTTTTCATCTGGTATCTGTCAGAACAAATAAGGAAATTTTGGAGAAAAAACAAGATTATCATATAACAAAACATCGATGCAACCACCTTTGTTGTTTTCAGTCAAGGTATGATGCCAAAACATGACAATTTAAATGCAAATAGAAGTAGACATTCCAACGTAAGATTTATTATTACTCAGTTTACATGTAAGTATTAGAGACCTTGAGATTCTAAGATGAGGATGATTATGAGAACAAGATTTTCTCCCTACAAGTAGTGCATGTGCATGAACCAGCATCATTATGGCAAGAAAATGCGATAGCCATTATGATAGTAATTCACTGACAAGTTATTTCAGCCCTGACCCCAGTTAATCACATGACAAAGCTAAAAGTTTATTACCTGACTGACAGGACGATAAGCAAATGCCACACAGTTTGCTGACATGCTGTTCCTCTGATAAAAGTCCAATACTTTCTTTCTAAAAATGATAGAAAATAGAGAAGTGAATTAACTAACTACAGACTAAGGGAAAAATTCTTTTTACTGAATTTAAGAACATACCATAAAATTCCGAAAATAAGCCCCGGGGCTTATATTTTCAAAGGCCTTTTTTGAGGGGCTTATTTTTGGAGGGGCTTATATTCGGAGGAGCTTATCTACAGAGGGAAATTTGTGTTTCAAAACTGATTGAGCTAGCCTTATAGTTGGAAGTAAATTTACCGTTTTTGCTTTGTTTTACTTTGTATTTGAGGGACTATTTGAGGGCAATTTTCCAAGTACAAGCCCCCAGGCAGCCTTATATTTGGAGGGGCGATTTAACGGGGGTTTTTTTGCGTTACTGGTTTGGGGGGTTTGTATTTGGAGGGGCTATGGAGGGGCTTATTTTCAGAATTTTACAGTATTAAAGCTTAAAGGTGATGGAGATGTAAAAATTAATAGTCCCCTGCATGTTGAGATCAATACCAGGAATGTGAGATACTGGGAGCTTTCTATTCAGCCCCCAAAATTCGGGAAATTTTAGTGAGAAATCAAATGAAACATACTGATTTCGGTTCAGTCCAACCAGAATATTTGGGACCACCTTTGAAGGTGGTCCACTTTGACCGGTCCACTCATTTCGGTCGGTCGGACCGAAATGTCCCTTTCTATTTGACAAAATTGTTGTTCCCAGTACCGCTCTTTTGCATCCTGCTTACAAGAACAATACCCAGATGTGCCGTGGCTTGGGTTCTGGTCAGTGCATCTGGAATTTACCATTTCATTGGGCATGTGGAGTTTCCAAAATTTCAAACTGGAATTTTTATTGAACAGAAAGCATTCCCTCTGTCTCATTTTGCACAGAGCTGTTGTCACTGCCATCATCCCAGCTTGCAATAACTTTACAGTTAGGGTAAACATAGAATTACTAACAGCTTAGAGAATAACTATCTAATGAACTGAATAACCTGACCATTATTAAGTTCTTATGTAAACGTACCTCTCAGATGCTGTTACAGGACACAGACTTTTACCGTCCCAGTAATCTGTACATGCTTCAAGAACAACATCTGCTGATCCTTGAGTAAGAAGTTGAAGAGACCCTACAAAGCAGATTAAAGATGCACAGATTTTTCTCAAAAAATTACCCATCAAAACATGATTTACGGATTTTAGAAAGGACTCAACCAACAACTTTNAAAAAGTGTAAAAAACCAACAAAACAAAAAAAACATACACAAATTTTTTTCAAAAAAAAACCCCAAAAAACAAGATTTAAAGAGTTTAAAAAAGGCACCACCCACAACTTTTTCCCCCGGGCCCCCCCTCTCCCCCCCCCCCCCCCAATCCCGCCCCCTTGAAGTAAGAAAGAGTGAGAAGGAGATGGGGGAAGGAGGGAGGGGAGATCGTGGGAATTTACTTGCCTAAACACTTTAAGACGGAATCTGCCAGCAAATTTTAGTGAACAAAAACCTTGTACCAGAATAATTTAAAGCATATTGCATTCCTTTTTACATTTTTCAAGGGCTAAATATGTAATTAGTCATCTGTAATAATACCAAAGAAAATTTCTTATGGGAGCTCTAGAAAATGAACGTCAAAGTTCATAAAATTACATCTTTCGCACGAAATTTTCACAACTTTACCGGTGTTTTCACAATTCTTGTGAAATTTGACATTCACTTTCTCGGACTCCCATGAGAAATTTTCTTTGGTGTTGTTACAGATGATAAATTACATCTTTAGGCCTGGAAAAATGTAAAAAAGAATACAATATTCTTTAAATTATTCTGAAATTATTTTGAAACCAGCTGGGATGATGCTTTGATTCCTCCAAAAATGCCTTGAACAATGTACGTGTAGTAGGAGCGTTGAGTACCGGTTATTATTTATTATTAAAGAAAAACCATCAGTATTCAAGGTAATGTGACCTACCTGTTCGTTTTTCCTTAGTAACGAGACAGATCATGTTTGGTATGGGCTTCTCTTTTGATACAGATAAAAATGAATGGGAATGGATGGGAAATCTGAAAGTGGAATTCTGAAAAGAAGAAGAAACCAGTAAGCAGCCACACAAGTCCTCAATGGAAGTTATCATTTCTTCTTCCCGATTACCTGGTAAAAGTAGAAGTGCAGAATGTAATACTATAGTTTGAAGTTTTCAAAACTTTATTTTTTTATTTTATTTATGGCAAAAACACAACAATTTTTTTGTCCTTTAGTATATTATTCCCAAAAGTCTATAAATGATAGTTTACCTATAAAATTGATACAGATAATGTAAAAATGAAATAATATTAAGCCGATGTAGGATTTGAAACTGACAAAAAATACTGTAAGCAAATCTGGTGTTTAGTTATACAGATGACTAACAACTTACCACTGGCGACTGAACTGCAAAAATGTACTTCTTCTTTATAAAGAGATCAAGAGCACGCTCCATAAAACCTATCTCCTTGCCAAGCAGACACAAACACCTGAAATATCCAGTACCATCAAATCCAACATTAGTGACTGCTTTATCAATTTAATATCATAGGTGACAAACTACTCCTTAACCTTCGCGCAAAAGTTCAGCATTAACTTATAACTTCACATGTGAAATTAAAAATCTGCTGTGGCAACGTACAGTGCCAAGAGGGAGTCAAGGTTTTAAAATGTTGTGAATGAAGATGCTGAGGCATTAAAAGACACTAAAAACCTAAACACAGAGAAAGCAAGGAAAATAGGAGATGTCAGCATGCGGGCTAGAGAGCACATGAGGAAGGATTCTAACAAGTATTTTGCAGAAAAATTCAGATAGTTGTGAACTTTAGCAAAAATTATTCTCCTAACTTTTCAGTTTGTGAAATTGTCAATACAATGAACACAATAATTAATAAAAAACCCACACTTGGGAAAATTTTACCTATTAAAATAGGTAATCAAAAAGTACACTCGTGAAATTAGGGAATATTACACTTGTGTTTTGTCCAAATTCTGATGACAAAAACACGAGAAATTATTCCATAATTTCACTCGTCACCATTTGATTACAAATACTTATTTTACCCTTCAGTTAAATGACAAATTATTTTCTTGCGAGCTGTTACAGAGGACCCAATAAAATATAAAAGCGCTGGTACCTTCTATAAAAAGGCAGCGGAACTGGATTGTAGGAAAGAGACAACAGACCAGTGTGATCTGCAAACCGGAGACATCGTACAGGACACTTACAGCAGGAGTTAAGGAGAATGTTTAGGCCCTGGAGACAAAAAAACTTCTTATCAACTAAATCAACAAGATCGTCTGGTTACAGTAAGAAACACATATAACTTTCAGTCTATACAGCCATTTGTTTTGTCCCTTAAAATAATTTTACCGAAATTAGTCACTCTGATTTGTAAGATTTTCTCTGTGTAATAACAATCCTAGTCAAAACATTTGAGACACTTTGTCTTTCATACATGAACATCAGCAATATTATTTCCCTCCTACATACACCTGGACACCCCTGACAGTGTTGCATAACCACACTAAAAAAGTTCTTACACATCTTGCACAGGTTAGAGGCTTGTCATGCAAATCAATTATTGTTATAGAAGACATAACAGTGATGTCCCTAGGCCAGAAAACAGTACATTGAAGTTGTCCTATGCCAGTCTCTTAGATTAATAGAGCATGTTCGGTTGACAGCATTCTGGAATAGCACTAAATGGAATAGACTCTAGAATGTTAAATCACTTGATTGGGCTTTCATTGTATTTCAAAATCTACAAAACTGCTTGAAATAGAATATTCTGATCAGGGTGCAAAGAAAGTCAGTTTTACAGCTTGCCATTCAGGCAATCTGTAGCTAACCCTGTTGTCATTTCAACTAGCCCCCCCCCCAACCACTGCCCTCCCCCCTCCCCACAGAAAAAAATTGATGAGCAGGATTGATTACAGCTCTTATGTTATTAATATTTGAATACCCCAAAAAACTTCACTTGCCCATTGGGCAAGTAATGAGAACAGAATTCACTAGCCTGACAGCAACATCCACTAGCCCCGGGGCTACCAGACACTAAATTCTTAGCACACTGCTGATCTATGTTATTTTATATTAAAATTTTTAAATGGTTCAAACATCACAGTAGAAGAGGTTTATATAAAACTTTTGCATATTCTTATTCCAGAATACTATCAATCAAATGCATTGTTAGTCATTTTGCTGTTTCAGTGTTGAAAGATAACATGCATTTAGGATTGCCCTTCACGGGGTGACACTACTGACAGACTACATAAATAATATTGTATATTCACACAACTAAGTGATGAAAATTTTTGTCAGTAAATCCTCACCAGTGGTTTAAGAGAGTTAATATGATTCTCCCATCTGACATCATCAAACCTCAGTCCAAATTGACTCTAGAATTCAGTGCAAAAAAGTACTGAATATAATCAAAAGTCTTAAAGTGGAAATAGGGTAAAAAGGGATGCAATGAACTTGAGTTTAACACATAACAAAGTCATTATCTAATAAATATAGTTTTGTTAATCTTTTTCCATGCTACAGTACGTTTCAATAATATTGCAGCTGCTTGAGGCAACCTCCTTCAAACAGTGCATGAAGGAATGTCGGTACACAAAACAGCTGGTAATCAAGTCTACAATTAAGGCTAAGGCCTCTACAATTATGAGATTAGATCACTGCTGCTTTGTAGACTTTTATAGGCAGTTAAACGTTCAGCCTTTCAAACTAAGAAAAATGAACATACCGTTACTTTCACAGTGTACACAGAGCTAAATACATCCAGCAATCAAACTCCACATGCCCATCAAAGTGGTTTTAAAATATTATAACAACACTACAAATGAAAATACCTCAGGATCAGAAGACAAGTTGAGCACTTCTCTGTGACCTTTAAAATAATAATCATTCCAGTTGTTGCCTGAAATTCACACAAAATAAAGAAAAATAACATTTCTTTAGACTGCTTGTATTTAATATATCTTACAAATTCCCTGTAAGTTTAATGTGAAAAAAGTTAAGCCCATTCCAACCAGACTTTTTTCAGGTTGCTCAATTAAATAGAGCCTTTTTTGTATATAACTGTACCAGTTTTGTATTAAAGGTGTTCACTGCATGTTTGAGATTATTTTCACAAAACAAACAAAAAGGACAAAGACAGAAAAGTAACTGAACTGATCAATATACACTTACCAGTGGTTTCAGAATCACTGACATAAATGTCATCATCATCGCCATAACAATCATCATCCTCGTCATCATTATCAGAAGATTCTTGTCCATCCTGGCTTGATGACTGTCTACTTACTTCACTTGTCCATGTGCAGGTGCTTTCTTTTCTACTCTTTGCTTTACCTGCCAACTCCTCTTTTAACTTGTGTTTGCGACTTTTTAGAAAGAACACTTTTTCTGCACAAGGATTTGGCAGTGACAATATCCCTTCTTTGTCCACACAACACCACACCTTCAAGTAGAAAGTGAAAAAAAAAAATATATTTTACAGGTCAAATTTGATTTCAGTTTTGATTTACCCTAGGTTAGATAGCACTATCCATCGGGTAGATCTCTATCCAATGGATAAGAATTAGGGAAACCAATGCACTATCAACTGGATAGAGATTTATATGGTGGATAGCGCTATCCACCATTTGAACAATTTGGGCCTGTTATATAGTAATGCAGTAAGCCATATTACATTGATATGTTTGTACGGAGTCTTAAGTAATGCTAGCCACTACAAAACTACTAAGATCTATGGTCACTTTATTTATAAAGATAAATGTCCTTTTATAAATGTTAGTAAATCGGGAGAAAGCCATTAGAGTCAAATGAGTCATGAGTCAAGAAAGATGAGTTAGGTCTGGGTTCTGACAATAGTGATTAGGATTAAGCACTGACAATGCTAAAAATGCCAAAATATAAAATGTCTTTGAAGGCCATAATACATTAATCAACGGCTATGCACAAAACAACCAGTATATATTTTTTAAAAAAATGTGTAACTCACTGTAACGCTTCCTAGAATTTCTAAAAGATTTGCTGTTCTTGGTAGACTTGAAGGATCTCCCAGGAATATTTTCAAAGCACATTTCAATACTTCTTGTACAGTTACCTCATTTGCTGGCTGAAAAACAAAAGTTGGTAACTTCACATGACACTTGTTGCCTAGTTTACTTCACACGACTCTTGTAATCTTGTTGACCTCTCATCACTCTTATTGATCTTGTTGCTTTGGTGACTTCACATGACTCTTGTTATCTTAATTGTTGATTTCATATGACTCATGTTGCCTTAGTGACTTCATACGACTCTTGTTGCCTTGGTGACTTGAAATGACACTTGTTGCCTTGGTGACTTCACATGATCTTTGCTGCATTGCAAACATGATGCTGGTTGCCAAGGTGAACTAACATTAATTTATACTGCTTTCCCCGGAAAACCCTTTTTCCAGTGACCAAAGATGAATGTGGTTGCCGTAGGGACTTAGCCTATGAATATTTATTCTTCAGACATGGAGCCACTTTCACAATATTCTCCTGTAACGTTACGCCTTTCTCCTGCTACTAGAATTCTTAATTAAAACCCTGCATTAAACACTTAATATTGTCTTAATGATTCCTCCTGATACCATCTCGGTCACACCATTACTTTGGTTTCTCTACAGCCTCTTTTGCTTTTACAATCTATTATGACCCAAATGTCACCTAATGAGGTATACTGGTTATCTTTACATCACTTTTCCTATTATTTTCCACAAAACAATTAGAACTGTTTAAAATTTGTTGAGTGCTCACCTTTCCTTTTTCTTTAAGAAATTGAAACAGAACTTTAACTTTTGCTGCTCCATAAAGATTGAGGGCGATCCATACAGTGGGAAAAGAAATGGGTAGGAGTGGCAAGACAGCATAACCCTGAAAAATCACAGATAATTTTCATACAAATGAACCTTAACTAACCTACAGCATATCCTATTCCAGGAGTTTAGATGGTGGGGCACAGATGAAAAATTGACAAGAGAGAGAGAGCTAGAGGGAGAGAAAAAAAAAGAGAGGAGACCCTCATTTTTTCACCCTCGTTTTGCTTTTGCATTTGCCATTTTAACTTGCTTCACACCATCTGAATGCCTAGAACAGGCCACCCACAGCAGAGTATATTTATTTGCCCAAAATTCTGATGCAGATACATGTACCTCAGATAGAGGTCATGTAGAGATAGTTAAGAAATAATATAACATCCTGACACCTTTGAGTTGATCAGATAACAGCAAGTTCTTTTTTCTGACTCTTTGGTGTCTGAATGACAAGGTTTGACTTACTGTGCTTTTCACAAACATGTGAACTCTTAAGTTCAAACGTCACGTTTTTTGCTGCCGTCAATCATAATTACGATCACAAGCAACGAACCCTGAAACACAGAAACACACAAAACGGATCGAAATCCACCAATCACAAATCACAAACCATGACCTTTTGAACCTGTTAAAGTAAAGTTTTGTTTCCTAAGAGGTCCGCTAAGATGATTGACGGAAGCAAAAGATGCAATTCTCAGAGTTAGCTTTTGAACTTCACAATTCGCATGTTTGTGAAAAGCGCAGTAACTTTGATCACAATATAATCCATTAAAAAACCATGAATATGTACAGGAAGAATTACTATTGAGAAAGAAAGTACAAAAAAACAATGTGAGAACTCTTAGTAATTAAAATTAATAAAATATTCATAAATTATACACTAGCTGTAACAAATAATTTATTACCTGAAGTAAAAGAACCAACTCACTCCAGTGTCCTGAGTCATTTGCAAGAAGAAATATTCTGAGAATATTTACAATCAAGGATAACACCTTCAGAAAAGGAAACAATAAATTATGCAATTATGCAAATCTCAATACAATATGTAAGCAAACTGACAAAATTTGCCTCAATTCAACCACATTTTAATATTCAAAATACTTCAAAGATATTTTTTAGACATTATTTTTCAATAATACAAAAACTAATGTCATTAATAAACAAATTCAGAAAATTATATACTCACCAAAATAACAGGCAGGAGTCTCTTGTCTACAATAGTGCTAGTAATATAATGCATTTCGTTTCCTACTATGCTCACTGGTCTTTTCAAAGACTGATTGAGAATTCTCCTGTGTAAAAGATTAAAGTGATAGCTAGCATAAATTATGATATCATTACTGCGTCCTTCCACCACCCTCCAAGTGGTAGATAGGGAATATTTATTATACGAAGTTTCAGAATAAAACACAACATAGGAAATTAAACATCTTCAACTACATACAAGAACTCTAACTCCAAATATAATGAATAAAATGAGGAAAAAAAATGACTTTAAACCTCACTACAATAGCTTTAACTTTTTTAAGAATGACAACATATCAAATAGCACTGGGCTGTGAAATATCTACCTTAAACTGACTTTAAATGGTGTTACTGTGACAAGGAACTTTTCTCGTTGGTGAGGTTGTGAAGACTGTATACCGGTACCAGTTACTTTGGAGCCATCTGACAAAAAAATAGCCACAATTGTAAAATAAATCACAAACTCGTCAGCTTGAAATAAAATGACAAATCTTTGCATGTGAACATACCTGAAGGGTTTTGAGTGACGATTGGGTAGAACACTTGACCTTCTTCAAGAACCAGGGGGGAGCCTTTGTTTGATAATTCAGAGGAGAGCTATGGACAAAAGATTAATGAATAAAGGACTGAATTGGAAGTGTACAGGCTGTGCTGGGTAGTAAAGCCTGAACTTTAATCAAAGTACACTATATCTTAGGCAAGATTTAGATGCTGAAGTCTTTATGAGCTAAGTTGAATACCTTGCATCAACAACATGAAAAGTTCATCAATATTATTTTAAGAATTTTTTGCCTCAAACTGCACGCATGTATACTTGACTAATGTCTTTTGTTACTTGTATCATCAGTCCAATTAAACCAAAAACTTAACTTAGTTTGATGATGCAGGGATCACAGTCTGACATAGATATCAAACAGAAATATTTTGCAAAAATTTTCTGGATTTCCAGTTTACTTTAAATGGGCCAAACTTCCTCGTCCTCCACAAAATAACAGCAAAACACAGCAGGTCTGTAACTCAAAAAACTCTGTGGGATGCAGGTGGACAACATATACCCAACCCCTACAGGCTACTCAACTTTTAAGTTTGTCACTTTTGGGGATAAGACAATGCAATGAAAGGCGACTGGGCCAGGCACAAGGACTACTGGAAATACTTAAGGAATATTCAAGGAACCCATGCCAGCTGCATGCAAAGCCTCAAACCATCAAACAATCTTGTTTAACTGTTGACAATTCAAAACAAAATGACATTGCTTAACTTGGGATCACTGCTCAAAAGAACAACAGGATCAACACCAAGATATAACACCTATACCTTAAGTGAACTGTAAAGGCTTCTGTTATTTGAAAAAAAACAAATATATAACAGATTGCTCTTTGTCAAATTGACTTGCTTTTGCTCAACAAAATGTTCATCACAAGATTATTTGAGACATTAAGAAGAATATCTGGAGTCGTAAAACTTCAAAAAATAATTCCTGAAAGCAGTTGTGCTGTTTCTAAGCGAGAAATATTCCTGAAAGTTGACTATTGAGAAAAATAAAAGACAAGCAGAACTTGATGACCAAAAACATGTTTTTACACAACTTTAATAAACCTTTACTGTGACTGTTTGCCTTAACGGCTGTTAAAATTCAAATGTTTAGCAGCAAACCACATCATGTCTGGCACCCTTTTAGAACATGTTTTTTGTCTCGAGTCCACACTCACATGCAACCAAGTAATTTTCTAGCTTTATTTCAGGCCCCAACCACTGTCATTATCACAACTAATGAAGAATCTCTTTTATTAACCTGTTGAACCTGTGCAGGGGCCGAGTGCCCAGGTCCTAGAACCACAACATCTCCCTGGACGAGCAGGTTACATGGTACACTGACGAGTTCCTGGTCTCTATAGGCATGCACCAGTGAGATGGATGGTGAAGGAGGANTCAGCTTGAAATAAAATGACAAATCTTTGCATGTGAACATACCTGAAGGGTTTTGAGTGACGATTGGGTAGAACACTTGACCTTCTTCAAGAACCAGGGGGGAGCCTTTGTTTGATAATTCAGAGGAGAGCTATGGACAAAAGATTAATGAATAAAGGACTGAATTGGAAGTGTACAGGCTGTGCTGGGTAGTAAAGCCTGAACTTTAATCAAAGTACACTATATCTTAGGCAAGATTTAGATGCTGAAGTCTTTATGAGCTAAGTTGAATACCTTGCATCAACAACATGAAAAGTTCATCAATATTATTTTAAGAATTTTTTGCCTCAAACTGCACGCATGTATACTTGACTAATGTCTTTTGTTACTTGTATCATCAGTCCAATTAAACCAAAAACTTAACTTAGTTTGATGATGCAGGGATCACAGTCTGACATAGATATCAAACAGAAATATTTGCAAAAATTTTCTGGATTTCCAGTTTACTTTAAATGGGCCAAAATTTCTTGTCCTCCACAAAATAACAGCAAAACACCGCAGGTCTGTAACTCAAAAAACTCTGTGGGATGTAGGTGGACAACATATACCCAACCCCTACAGGCTACTCAACTTTTAAGTTTGTCACTTTTGGGGATAAGACAACGCAATGAAAGGCGACTGGGCCAGGCACAAGGACTACTGGAAATACTTAAGGAATATTCAAGGAACCCATGCCAGCTGCATGCAAAGCCTCAAACCATCAAACAATCTTGTTTAACTGTTGACAATTCAAAACAAAATGACATTGCTTAACTTGGGATCACTGCTCAAAAGAACAACAGGATCAACACCAAGATATAACACCTATACCTAGTGAACTGTAAAGGCTTCTGTTATTTGGAGAAAAACCAAATATAATTATAACAGATTGCTCTTTGTCAAATTGACTTGCTTTTGCTCAACAAAATGTTCATCACAAGATTATTTTAGACATTAAGAAAAATATTTGGAGTCGTAAAACTCCAAAAAATAATTCCTGAAAGCAGTTGTGCTGTTTCTATTAAAGCAAGAAATATTCGTGAAAGTTGACTATTGAGAAAAATAAAAGATAAGCAGAACTTGATGACCAAAAACATGTTTTTACACAACTTAAACCTTTACTGTGACTGTTTGCTTTAACGGCTGTTAAAATTCAAATGTTTAGCAGCAAACCACATCATGTCTGGCACCCTTTTAGAACATGTTTTTTGTCTCGAGTCCACACTCACATGCAACCAAGTAATTTTCTAGCTTTATTTCAGGCCCCAACCACTGTCATTATCACAACTAATGAAGAATCTCTTTTATTAACCTGTTGAACCTGTGCAGGGGCCGAGTGCCCAGGTCCTAGAACCACAACATCTCCCTGGACGAGCAGGTTACATGGTACACTGACGAGTTCCTGGTCTCTATAGGCATGCACCAGTGAGATGGATGGTGAAGGAGGAGTGCAAGGGTCAACATAATCTGATGGCATCCAACTGCAACAGTCTATCAAGGACAACAGTGTTAAATTACAGCCAACTATTATTTATCATATTGTAATGGTTATATATAATTTTAATGACTGAATTTAGAAACTTGAGCAATGGACTG